GCTTGTTGCGGAAGCTGAGGTCGCAGTCGTGGCACTCGTAGGGCCCTTCCTTGAGGTGGTTGCGCTGGTGGATCATGAAGTTGATCTTGAGCATGAAACTCTTCCCGCACTCGGGGCAGATGTAGGGTCTCTCCCTCGTCCGGTTGCGCTGCTGGGCGGTGGACGGCTTCATCTCGCCGGAGTCCCTCTCGCAGGCGGAGGGTTTCCTCACGCGGGCGGCCAGGCTCCTGGGCTGCGTTTTGGAGCTGCACTGCGCCTCGCAGCCCAGCCCGGCCTCATGGCTGGGGGACGGCGGGGGGGCGCGCCCCGCCCCAGAACTCCAGGGTGTCGGGGTCGTCCTCTTCCTCCTCCTCCTCCGTCTTGATCACGATCCCATCCTCTGCGGGGGAAAACAGGAACAGCGTTAGGCTCATCGGGTCTCTGCTCCCAAGACGACGTGCCCAGCCTGGGACTGTCCCCTTCCTTCTGCCTCGCCGTGATGGGGCGTGGGGAGAGACCCCCTGACCCTCCTCCCCAGCAGTGGGATGGGCTGTCAGGCTCCCCCCGTGCGTCACCAACGCTGGAGGTGACGCAGTGTTTTTGTTTGGTGAGACTGGCCCTATCGGGAACGCGTGCTGCCAGGGCGCCCCGAGGAAAGGCCCACGGTGGATCCCTCACACGTCACCCTGTGCCGGACTTTGAGCCAGGCCTATGTACTTTTCTAGGAAAAGCAGCTCCGCTTTCCCAAGAAGAGGCAGCCGATGTATCAAAGGCACTTCCCGCTCCCCTAAAACAGAGGGGTCAGTGAGGAAAATCCACATTCCCAGCTCCTTGCAGCAAGGAGCTTCCCCTGTGCAGACCCAGGAGCCATTGCCACTCGAGTGCTGGCCGCCGGCAGCCACATCCCAGTCGGAGCGTTGCCGCAGCTCCCGCTCAGCCCCAGCAGTCATGGCCCCGTGCATCGGCCGAGACGCTGTCGGATGACAATCGGCTCCATCCCCACTGGTGGCTTAACTGGTTTCCTTTAGAAAACCAGGAGGAGACCCCGGGATCCATGACACGGAGTCGAGGAGGACCTCAAGCGCCCAGCTCCATCTTTCCTGGTTTGCGTTACACCAGCACAAAGCCATCAGAAGGCAGGAAACCCATCGTTCCCAATGGCCCATCTCCGCATTTTCCCATCACTCGCCCTCGGAGCATGCCTGTAGGACCCGGACTGTGTCTGCCACCCAACCAGTGGACTTACACACACAAAGCCATCTTCTCGTCACCCCGCTAACCTCACCACATCCTTCTCTCCCTCTCGCACACCACGGACCTCCGCCCACTGTCGTCCCCATCCTCCAGACCTGCCCCAAGCGACCCCCGTGCTGGCTGATGTATGGGACCCCGCACATTCCTGCAGGGAATGTTCTGGAGCAGGTCAGGTGTCCTGAGAGACCACACTCTGGTGACCATCACGTGTGTGCCGCCTCCTCCTCCCGGCCCGAGGTCTCACCACAGTTCTTGAGGTGGCTGCAGCCAGAACCTTTCCTTCTGGTGCTGGTTTTGGGGGAATTTAACCCTCTCTTTCATCCTTTCCCCATCTTTGCCAGACCCACCACAGCCCCTCCTGGGCCTCCAACCCCGCCAACGTGCCGCAGAGTCAGGTGCCGAGCGTCTCACCTGGGCAGTTCCCGTGGTGAACGATGACTCTCTGGATCTCGTTGAAGTCAGCGCCGTATTCGGAGGAGTCACCCAGGCTGGTTCCTGGGAGGTCCCTTGGAGGGGAGACGGAGCCATAGGGGCTCTCGCAGGCTGCCTCCTCGTCCGGACTCTGGAAGCTTCCCTCCGACTGCCCTGACATCCCATGCAGCTCGGGGTTTTCGGGGCTGTCTTCAGGAAGGAGCTCCTCCGTTTTGATCACAACTCTTATACCAGCTGCAGCAAAGAGAGAATCCCACCTGCCCTCATTCCTGGGAGCCAGGATGAAGAAACTGCTTCCCACCAGCTCCCCATGGACTGTCTCCGGCTGCTGACCCTGCAGAGGGGGGTCCTTTGCTCGGCCACTTCTGCTCTCCCTTCAGCCCTGCACCCTCCCCGCCCT